CCCCACGCCCACACATCCCCAACTCGAGTGCACCCACACACATACATATATACATATACATATAGTATATAAGGGCTCAGAAGCGTAGATGCAGAACGCACAATAATCGGGCTGCTTCTACTTCTTCCCTGGCTTGTGGGTGCTTGATATACATTCATCCCCACAAGAGTACCTCGAGAATAAACACTTAAGCATACATGTGTAAGTACACACACATGCCGGACAAAATTTTTAGCACACGGCTTGCACACAATTAGCGAAGCAAAAGCCAGTTTAAAACGGACTCCCCAACCCTCCGCTGGATGGTTATCGACGTCCACACACATGTATCAGAAGCAATACAGTAAAGCCATAAATAATCAAAACAAAAAAACAAAAAACAAAAATAAAACAGCGGATTAATATTCACGTGGACCGCTGGCCGAATTCTGCTGTTTATCGATAATAGAAAACAAACAAGATAGGAATAAAAAAGAGATGAATGGAATGTGCATGGATTCACCATACCCTCAAATTTTAACACCTAGTAAGTGCATATGTATATATTCCTATATCATCCATTAGCCAATATCATGGAATGCTGCGTTCCATTTAGTTTAAATTCATCTTTATTAATTACTTACAAACTGGCAGACTTTGGGGTCCTCCAGTCAAAAGACACCGCCGCTCCCCTTCGCAAGTTACACACTTTCGCCAAGTCTTGAAGTGTAAAAACACGACCGCGTGATATGCCGTCTGCGGGGTTGTCTGCAGACCGCACGTAGGCAACGGATGCATGTATTCCGCTAGAGTCCAAAAAAACCCGCATACCCGTTGCAGCTCCCACGTCAAGGCGTGCGATTTTGAGCTGCCTTTATTCGCCGCTCCTTGCAGCGAAGTGTTGTCCACCCAAACGTCCATGGTGGGTGGCAAGATGGCGGAAAAGGCCGATAAGGCAAAGCGTACTGCGCGTGCCTCGGTCTGCATGATAAGAAAAGGCTTCCTCTCCCGTTTCCTCCGGCAATCTTAACGTCGTCGGAGTATGGAATGAAAACGGCCCCCATCCACAAAAAAATGCATCCGTGATGATGGCGGCCGGCGCCTTTTCCGTGGAATTGATGATTCGCCTATTATTATTTTCGATGGTGTGTCGTAATCTCTCGCCCAAACCAATCGCTGCCGGCGGAAGGTTCGCCGGGGATGTCTTCAGCACAATCCCCCGGTGAAGTGCGGACAATCGTCGCCGCACCGTCTTGATGAGAAAGTAGTAGTCAAATAAACGCCTGACCAAAAGTGGCAGCCGCGCATAAAAAGCGTGACGCCATAACCTCCATTTCCAAGATGGTTGAAGAATTGAGCGCCGGCATGGCGCATACAGACAGGACAAACTTCTCACTCAGGGATACCGTCTGGTGAGTGATCAAACTGCACCTACAGAAAGGTGTAATGCGCAGCGCTCGATTCGCGTTCCTCCCCAAGGATGCGTGACAACTGTCCGCATTACGCATCACTTAAGCTTCCCACAATGTCACATCGCTTTTCGACCCTGCAATGCGTATATTACCGATCCATACGTCGACACGCACCAATGGGGGTGCGGCCCGGAGGCGGCGAACCACCGTCGTCACCACCGCAATTGCCGAAGCAATAATCTGGAGAATTTCTGGGCTGGCCTTGTATCCCATTGGGAGCCGTGTCAGCTCCACCAGCGTGCCGTCCTCCACGCGGCATCGAAAGAGATGCCGAGTCTCCCACGGTAAAGAGACTATGAAGGATGCCTTCACATCCAGGCAGGAAGCGGCCTCAGTCATCACAGGTGACAAATAATGGGAAATGTGTAAAAGAGGAACATTCGCCTCTTAAGGGTCGTCTCTGTTCCTGTCGCGTGGCCACGCGATCCGTCGTCGTAAACCGGTGGTTTTCTCCTCCACAACCGAAAAGAGTATTATCCATCCGCCTGTTGTTGCAGACGACGCGTCCTTGATAATTCCTGCTTTTCTTAACAATCGCGCGTCAGCGGTTGGAATCCTCCGTGAGCCTTCGCGCGATTTACCGGAGAAGGGCAGAGGGAAAGGGGACCGCCCGACGAGTCCCCAAACTTGCATGAGCCTCTCCAAGGTAGCCGGGTTCAACCGGATTTTGATCCACTTTGGGATTCAATACGGGCACGTGGACCTGCTGTAACGGGATGGTTCGTTCATCTTGTGGAGTGGCCGGACGCGTCCTTGTCGCGCGTCGCGTTATTGTAGCAGCATGATTGTGATAAAAATCATGGAAAAACGCTCCTCCGCTCTCAGCCAGGGTTCCTGCCCTTCCGAAGTTTCTCCTTCACATCAATGCGACCAGCGACAACACCTGGGTCAGCATTGTGTTGTACCTCCACAAATATCGAACTGCGTTCTGGGGAAGGTCGAACGGGTCGACGTGCTTCGCCAACTGCGAGATCAGCTGTGGATTCAAATTGTACGCCTCCACGATTTGAGCAGCGTGCCTCAACGCACCGCGTCTTATGGAATGCGCCGTGGCATTCCAAGCCAAAGCTCGTTCCACCCGGGCAGTCGTCAGGTTCGTAAGCTTTTCGATGTGTTGAAGTGTCCTGCATAGCTTTATAATGTCGAAGGCGTCCTGCCCTCGTATCCTCACGAACCGCAAGGCGCGGTGGGGATCCGCTCTCGCCGTCTTCGGCGCCACGGACCAATCCAAAATTAAGGCCCCGTCCGCCTTCAGTTTAAGATTGTTGGGAGTCAAGGCCGCAATCTCGGACCAACAGCTCGCCGTTATCCACGCAAGTCGTAAGACAACACGTTCCTTCCAATCGGTCCGGCTGCGGATACATTTATCCACCGCCTCCTCTGTCAAGGGGCACGCCTGCTTCGCCTTCGACCGCGCCGCAATCTTTGTAACCCCAAAATCGCCATGTCCAGCGGGGTTCGATTCATTTCCAACATGGACCGCAGCATCCTGTCGTACTGCTGTCGGGTCGACAGCGCCACATCTAATATTGCCATCAAAAAAGGCCGCACAACTCTCCTCGCTGATTGTCTGTTCGTGCGAGCAGCAAAAGATTGTGAATTGCCCTTCCAGGGACATTCTCTGCTACCACGTTGACGGGGCCCACATTTCTCGAGCCACCTCGTTCCCTCTCTTCGTGTGGCTAGCCCAAAGCGGGGATATCGGTGATTCGTCGTACCACAGTCGAGCGTCGTTTACGGATAATCTCCATTGCCCTTCTCGATGATTGCGTCGGGCAATTTGTAATATCGGGTGGAGCATCGGCGGCGCGGTGCGACTTCTTTGCGGAATAGCGGGAGTTGGTGGAATGGATGGAGCTGCCGTTGTCCGCTTTCACAAGAAGCAGCAGGCAGCCCCTCTGCCGTTTCTTGACGGCCGTCCGCGCTGCGATTCCTTCTGGGTGCGTCTCGGACGTTGCTTTTAGATGTGTCGTGTCCATAAATATGACATAACTGGCATCGCACCGGTCGTTGCGTCCCTCATCGTTCCAAGGGAATCTGGATTGCCCTCGCAAAGGTGTCAGCCTCATGAACGGCGGTGCAAGGACGGGCGAGAATGTTGAAGACCGGGATGTCGGGATCGGATGCCATCATGAGCTGCATCCGGAAGGCCTGCAGTAAGATCCTGCCAAAACTCATAAAGCGATCGGTGGGATCCCGCCCCGCTTCCAGCGCACATCCACGCGACCAAACCGTCAAATACAAGTTGGGCCTGGTCGTCCGCCCGTTTCCAATAATTGCATGCGCACCAGAGGTCGAAAACGACTCCGGAAACGCCCTCATCCCATAAACGCGGGGCCCAAGTGGTGACGCCGAATGCGCGGGACATTCGTCCCTCTTCTTCTGTAGCGGAATGATCGTCCAAGGAGAAGTGCTGGAGGGCAAAGGCATCGAGGGATAGAAATGTGGTCATCAGAAATTGCCCTGAGACGTCTGGAGGAATAACCTGCCGTCTCTCTCGCGCCGGAGTCCGTTGGGCCGTGTGTGAAGACGCGCCCACAGCCATCAAGCGATGCTTTTAACGTGGTTTTTTGGTAACGCCATCTTCGGCCTTATTGTGACACGCGACAGGTCCATCTGTAGGGCCTCTCCGAGTGGCGGGGGCTTCTTCCCTGGCCGCCGTCTCCGCCTCCCACGCGGCCGGCTGCGCCTCTTTAGCGCTAACGCGTGCCTCTCGCTCCTGTAGTTGGGTGCGGGTCGCCTCCAACTGCTGTTCGCGGCCGGCGAGCGCGCATTCTCGTTCTGCAGGAAGGCCGCCGGAGACCGCAATGTCAGATTCGCGCACCGATAGGTTGTTGTGCGCCTCTTCCACCTGCGAATGAAGCTGAGCGCTTCGATTCGGCACGTCCACGGCGGCGTGGGCGCTTTTCTTGCTCAAGCGCTCCCCTTCAGCAATGATGAGCCCTTGCCATGCGCCCCAACTCCTGGCCTGCGCCCATGATGGGCAAGATCAATTGATTCTCAAAATTTGGTACTTGAAACGCCCGGAGATTCGCAATATGTCCTGTAAGGCCCGAATCCTCCCATTGCTTGCTGATGTTTCCCAAAATCAGGCATAAACCTGTCGATGAGGGAGCCACAGTTAACGTCTCATCCGACATCTCGGTTCCATTAATGAACGTTATCTGCACCTGAGCTTCGCCACGTTGGCGTACCAACTCCGAAAGACGGGCACCAATGTCGCCCCATTCCGTTGCCATGTAAAAGAAACCAACACCATTTTCTTAAACCAACCCCGTTGTGCCTGTAAATTTAAAAGTAAAATAATTGTAAAACGTCTGGACGTTAACGATTCCCTGATTCCTTCAATCGGGGTCTCCCAAAGAGTCATCAAATACGGAATATTTGTACACAAATACCTTTTTCTTAGCACAATATACATGACTTCAGGCAGCCAGCCCGCTCGCAAACTTCAAATTCTTAAACTCCTCTACAAACAAACAAAAAAACACATGCTATTTTCCAGGCAGTTCAGCCGCGGTCCAGAGCCCTACAAACAGTGGCCACAAGTCATGTGGCGACGGCTGGATCCACCTCAAACGTCGTCATGAGCGAAAAATTCTGCTGTAAATTGATTGGCTTGGATGCACTCAGCTGAGGCACCTGAGTGAATCCCTTTCTTCTCAGCATGTCACGGGTGGCAATGAGCATATCTTGGTACGACAGATTACTGACTTTGAGTATTGTGTACGTCAGACACTGTGTGGCTGCCCCACCAGCACCCGACGCGCCCGTTCCAAATGTGGCCGCGTTGCTCACGTCAGCGGACGTCTGCTCGTCAGCACAACCGGATATCATCAGCACATCCCCGGCACAGTCGTTTCCCCTGCGAATACGCTGCATGTGACCGGCGACGCTGCTGCGCAAACTCCTGCTGCCCAAAAACGTGTACGGCAGGTCAAGCATGGAGCCAGAGTGGCAGCAGTCAAATACGACAGTGAGTCGCACTCCTTGTGGCAATCGCGGGAGAAGAATTCTGAAAATGTCGTTGTCAAGAATGCAGCCCTTAGTCGAAAAGTCGACGGGGGCAAGGCATTGATCAAATTTCTCCTCCGTGTCGCTCGTTGCACGAGTCTGCGTGCCGTGACCGGAATAGTGCATGAAGAGCACATCACCCGGTTTTGCACCCTTAACAAGCCACGCCATGTAGCGCACAATGTTGTCACGTGTGGGGAGGCCGTTGGCCCCCGGGAACCCCCTCTCATCCACAAGTATGCTCATCTCGTCGATGGGAATTCTTTTCCTTTGTAGTGTGGCGATTATTTGTTTCACATCATTGCAACAACCGGAGAGCTCGGCACTGGTGCCGTAGTAGTTGATGCCGATGAAAAGGGCACGAAAGGTGCCGCTCACATGGGTTGGTGCCTCCCACGGCTTAAAACCCTCCGTCACCTCCGCCTGCTGGAAGGCCTCCTCAACGTCAACCCTCGGTGGGCGTTGCACAGGGCCAAGATACTGGACAACATACGGGGCTGCAATCTTGATAAGGTTCAGTCCGATTTCCATGTAGTTGTTTGACCCCGGGGCTCCACCCCTCTTCAGCACTGTGCTGCACAGATTTAACAGACAGCCAAAATCAAAGCCCATTGCTCTTCCTTCTTTTCAGAGACGTGTGTATATATGTCACCTCAGTATTTATGTTGTCTCCCCAACACTCCTTCCTTTTCTTTTTCTTTCCGTTTCGGTGGCCTCGTCGGGTGGGTTAACGCGGAAATATCTCAAAGTGTGTGTATTCCTCCTAGCGGTGTTGGTGGCATACAAGCGGAGCGCACCCAAATGCATCCGCGTATACATGGAAGGAGTGCAAGAAACAGAGAGGGCGGGAGATGCACAGCAGCCACAGCAACAACAGCAAGGATGCATACATGCAGGCGGGCAGTGGAAAGGGGAGGGGGATCATGTGCCTCTGCGAGGGAGGCCCCGACAGATGCGGCAGACACACACACACAGCGACAGGGGGAGGAAGATACGAGTGAAGATTATGTTTTCTCCTCCATGCTATTTTAAAGGAATTTCTCCCACGGCTCTTTTCGACCCTATTGCTGGCTCCGGCCGCCCTCCGCGTCTCCTCCCCCACCACTCCCACCGCCGCTGGCGAGGAGGACACAACGCCGTGGTGTTGTTGTTCTCCCCTTCCCCACCTTACATTATTCCCTTTATTTTGTTTCCTCCCGTCCTCCTCTTTTTGTTCAGCGCTCTCCTTTTCTTCGCTCTTTCCTTCATCCTCCTCCCAAAAAACACACGCACGCAGGCCACGGCGCAAGACACGCCGTCAGAGGCTTTCGAGGGCCTGGCAAAGCGATGCCAATTCCTTCTCCTGCTCCGCCAGCCACCCCTCGCCCCCTTTCGCAACAAACTCCTCGTGGACCTTCGCGTACCTCGCAAGCTCCTTTGCGAGTTTCTTCTGCTCCTTCTCGCCCAACGCCTCGCCTGTCGCGCGTCGCGTCGGGAGCCCCGTGGCTTCATCAAAGGCGGCGTACTTTTTTTCCTCTGTGTCTCGCGTGCTAAAGTACCTTATCGGCGTGCACGTGTACTGGCGCCACTTCTCCGTCAATTTCCGTTTCGCCTCAATCTGATTCTCAAGCCTTGTGCGCCGCTCCGTTGCTTGCTGCGCCCGTCGCTCTGCCACCTCGCGTTGGGGCACGGCCACATCGTCACCCCTCCGCTCCGGTGCGCTGCATACAAATGTATCCGTGACACTGCCGCCACTCGGCAGCGGGAGGGCCGACGAGGGCAAAAAGCGCGCTCCACGCAAAACGCTGTCGCCATACGGGCAGCCGCTGCACGAGCGGATACCGTGAGGGCATCTGCTGCCAATCAAGACGCTTACGAAGTACATTCCGCCGAAGTTTTTCCAAAAGTGTGGATGTGACAACTGCCGCACTCGCCGCTCCAACACTGCCGTCTCCCGACCTGGCGACTTGACGCCCCTGCGGTCGCTGTCTCCCTGCGGGACGGGCGGCGGCGGCGGAGGTGAAGTGGTCCACCAACAAGGCGCATCCACTCCTGGTCGGCGGTGTTCCACTCCTCCTCTTCCTCCCCTTCGCCACCTCACTGGCCGGCCCCTGGCGTTCCGCGATCATGTGCGGCGGATCATTCATGGTGCTGCTACTGTGCGTTGTGGGAAATGGGATGACAACAGGCGGGGGGGGGGCAGTGATGATGGTGTCCCTCGCCGCCCTTCCCCGTTCTTTTCGTCGTTGCCCGCGTCGCCGCTCGCCTCAGACATTTCCCTCGCATGCATCGTTTCGTGGCTGTGTTTCTCGCCCCCGCCGCCGTCGTCGTCGGTGCTGCGGTGGTGACAGCAACAAACACGTGTGCTGTGAATCGCAGCGTCAATTCGATGTAAGTGCGACGATGCCCACGCATGCGCAGGCAACCGGCGGAGGAACCACGCCCCACATGCCCACCGCCGCATGGATGCCGATAAAAATGGGCGCACGTATGGACGGCACGGGCCCGTTCTTGTTCACAAGCGACCTATTCTTGCGGCGGCGGTAAAGATCCGGCGTCCTGATGTTTTCATGGCTGGCTGCCCCACCGTGGCGCCACGGTCGTGCACCAAAGGACGCGGGCACGATTCTTTGGAAAGCCAAAAGCCAACCATCCTGCAGTGCAGTGCTTCTGATCTCAGCCCGTACTGCGCCGCTATGTGTTAGCTGCCGTGCTGCCAACGCATATTTCCGTGCCTCACAATCCCGACGGCATTATTGCGGGCAAAGCGCCTGTCTCGGAGGATGCGGCGAAAAAAATGCGGAAGTTGGCATCGCGCGTATCACGGGCGATTGGCCAGCCTTTCGGAGCGAGGAACCACAGCCAGTCATCTCCACAAAACCGGGCTGCGGATCGACAGGGCAGCACGCGACCCGGGTCGCCCAGGACACAGCAAAGAGCCCAACCGGAGCGCGCCCTCTGGCGGTGCCGGCCAACCCATCGCGTTGCCAGGGCCAATTGCCCCGTATTGTCGGGAGAAGACAACACCCAGCCATGTTTCCCTCACGGGGTCGTGGTTGTTGGCGCGGGGGCTGACGGCATCGACCGGCGCCCGGAGCAGCCGCGCCGTGACGGGGCACAGTCGTAACACCACGGGGTCTGGAGACACGTCTTGCTGCAATGCAAGCC